ATTGTCCGTTTTCGGTTCTCGAGAGGGCGCCGTGGCCGTTATTTTCCAGGCTTGCGCCCGCCAGGTTTGGGCTTCAGGTCGCTTTCACGAAACCACGTTTTTCTAAAGGGGGGTATGTCCATCCCCGAATGTCAGGGCAAAGTCACGACGGGAGGTCTTGACCTATTTCTGGCACGTGGGTGCCCTTACCGGCCCTTGGACGCGTGAGAAAACGGCGTGGGATGGGAAGCCAGTCCCTGGGAGTGGGTCGACGCCTCCAAGAGTCAACGCTCTGAAAAAATCATGGCGACGGGGGTCTAGGTTCGCCGCGCGTAAGGCTCGGGCCGTGGGATGCGTCGGGCTCACGGTCGGGCTGCCGCGGCGCAGCCGCGAGTCCTGCCGCCCTCCGCTCTGTGCGTGCAGGCGCGCGATCTCCAGCCATATGTTCCCAGCGAGAGGGCTGGGCAGCACGGCGGCTCGCCGGCCCCCGCGCAGTTGTGGGACCGTATGCGCTACGCTTCCACCGTCAAGCCCCCATCCGAGCGGCCCCTCGAGGAGCCCCCTCGAGGGGCCCCCCTCGGGTGGCCCCCCCCCCTCTGAATGGCCCCTCGCTGCGGCCCCCCGAGCGGCCCCCTCGAGCAGACTTTCGGCGGGAGCCTCGGATCGGGCCGTTTTCCCGTGCGCCCCGAGGGGGCCTCGATCGCGCAGGTCGGCGACACACGTGAGAGTGGCTTTTCGCCATGGTGGCCTCCGGTGCCGGCGCACGTGTGCGCAACCCTGGGGCGCCAAGATGGCCGAGCGCGATGCGGCAGCAGCGTTGTGCGCGCGCGGGCGTCGCCCCCCCGCCTGCCCCCGAAAGGCGCGCAGCAGAGGGCCACTGTTGCCTAGATTCATGATGATCCAACCTGCTTTAGGCATGCTCACCAGAAAGAATTTCGAGCACCAGAAAAGTACCGAAATTCTTCGGTTTTCACGTGTCGGGCCCTGGGAGACACTCGCCCGATACTGTTTCGACACTCTTTCGACACTTGTCCGGGTGCTCGAAATCATTTCTGGGATGTGGCCTTTAGATACGATGGGAGCAACATAAGCCCAGGGTCAATCTCTGGCGGCGCGCAGCGGGCGGTAGGGAGAGGGGGGAATTGGCTTCTTAGAAGGAGGCCTGTTCTCAGAAGGCGCCGGACTTGCATCTATAGACAGGGCCCGCGCCTTCTACGAAGCAGGGGTGCTTCTAAGAAACCCTCCCCCCTCCCCCATACCCCCTTGTGCGCGCCGCTACAAGCCTGCGTGTAGCCGAGCAGGGGACATCGTCTGAGACGGTCCAGGAAGTCGAGGAACAATCCGCTGCGCAAAAGCGTAAGTTCTCTGAGTTCCGCGCGGGCCTCCTGGATCGCCGCCGGGTCCGCCCGGCGGCGCCTCCAGCGCGGATCCAAGCAATCCGCGCGGACGTTCGGGGAACGATTCAGGAGGGCAAAAACAAATAGACACAAGTAATCGTCGACTCCCCAGAACATGTGGGAAAAGATGGGAAGGGGGGGAAGACGAAAACCCCAAACATATGGGAACATATCGGGGAATACTCTGTGTCCCTCAATAGTTCTGGGGGTACCTGTAGTCCAGGGTGGGTACCTGTAGTCCAGCTGGGAGAATCAGCTCGCTTAGTTAGTAGATCGGGCGCTTACAAGTAGGTTGTAACCCCGCGCAAGTAACTTGCAAGCAGCATGCAAGCACAGCAAGCACATGCAAGCGCGCTGCGTAGGTATTAAGCTCCTCGGGCTACTTAGAGCACTTAAGGGGTCGACGCAGGCAGCATAGGCACCTTAGTATCTAGACTACTGGTCCCCCCCCTAGGGGGGGGGGGACCAGTAGTCCGGGGGCAGACCTGTAGTCCAGGGAAGGGGTGCCTGTAGTCCGGGAGGGGGGTACCTGCAGTCCGGGGGTGGGGCCGCGCGGGGGTACCTGCAGTCCGGGGGGGCGCGCATGTTATTCGTCGAAGCACGCGTGGCTCCACGCGCACGGGTTTCGGCGCGCGGGTGTTTGCGCGCGCGGGTGCGAATGGCGAGTCTGCTCCGGTCACAGCCAAGCAAGCGCACGACGGATGCGAAACCCGAGCGCCGACTCAGCTGGCCTCTAAGTGCCTCGTCACTTCAGGAATGCTGCTGAACACTTTCCCGTCTGGAGAATGCTGTTGGGAATAGCACGTTGAAGGGTTCCTGTAGCTTCGGAGAGGATTTTTGTAGCGTTATAACCAGGGTACCTGTAGTCCGGGGGGGGACCTGTAGTCCGGGAGGGGGGGGGGGGTACCTGTAGTCCGGGGAGGGGGGTACCTGTAGTCCGGGGGGGGGTACCTGTAGTCCGGGGGGGGTACTTGTAGTCCGGGGGGGTGTACGGGAGGGGTGCCTTTAGTCCGGGGGGTACCAGTAGTCCGGGGAGCCAGAACTATTGAGGGACACAGCGTGTTTTTATCTGTGTGTAATTCTTTGTGTGCCCTGGGGCCCCTGTGACTATGTTCAGAGAGGGCCTCGCCCTCGGGGGTCGAGAGGTGGGCATGCTCTCCTCGGTGGCGGGGCGGCGGAAGCGGCTGGCGGAACGCGGCCGAATCGCAGCGAGGTCGGCTCCGCCGGCGGAAGGCCGGCGGAAGGCGGCGGCAGTGATCCGCCAGGGGGGAGCCGCTCTGCAGTGCCACCCCGCAGATTACGTTGCACCTTCGGGGGACCTCGCCTGTCCCCAAAATGCGTATCTTTTCTGGTGCCCGACGCGGGTTCGATGCAGACTCGACGTGGATTTGGCGTGGATTCAACGTGGATTCGACACCGATTCGACACCGATTCGACACGGATCCGACGAATCCGACACGGATTCGACGCGGATAGGGCCGCGGTTGGACAGACAAGGTTCCCCGAGGATGCAACAGAACGCAGAGGGAGGTTGTTCGGAGGGTTCCGGGAGGCTTCCGGAAGGGTTTTCGTTGTTTTCAGGGGAAACCAGTCCATAGCGAATTTTGGGGTTTCCAAGGCTAGGGAGAGGACGATGAGGATCGGCATGATCAGCAGCAGGAGCAGCGTCCGCCGTTTCCTTCTCGTCTCCCCTCTCCCAGGAGCGAGAGGATGACGTACATGTACATGCATCCACGCTGGTTTCGAGAGCACGCATTGGGCGAACGTTCGTATCCGACCCCTCCTCGCCCTCCTCGCCATTCCTTACCGCGTCTTGATCAACCCCATCACTACCGCCCATATTTTTGTGTCACTCTCATGCTCTATTCCTTCTTGTCCTCCTCATCATTATTCTCCATCTATGTTGCTGTTGCTGCTGCTCAGCCCCCTTCTCATCATTTCTCCCTCTGCTGCTGCTGTTGCTCCTCCTCCTCCTCCACCACTTCTTTTCCTTGAAAGTAAATTCTCCCTGTCGCACCTCGATGCCAGTTTTTAGGGCGGGCCGGGCGTTTCGCCTGACCTTCCTCACCATTTATGGCCCTGAAGCTTAAACATTGGCAACAGCTTCAGAGATGGAGGGCGGGTGGTTGGCTTTCAAAATATGGCTCTCGCTTTAGCGCCGCGCACATTCGTTTCGAATATTTGCAGAAGCTTCTTGGATTGAGGGCGACTGGTTCTCAAAATATGGCTTTCGTTTCAGCGCCGCGCACACTGGTTTTACACATTTGGAAGAGTTTCGCGGATTGTGGGTAGCCCCGCAGACATTCGTTTCACGCACTTTCATGAGCTTCAGGGATGGAGGGTGGTTCCTTGACAACATGTGATACTCGCCCTAGCGCCGCGTATATTCGTTTGTAGAATGTACAAGAGTTCCGCGAGTTCCCATGATCAACGTACCAGAAATGGTGTTTTGTACATGTTCAGGATTATGCGGGTGCAGCAGTTACGTTGGTTCGCGGAGGAATGGCGTTCTGGCACGGTTCAGGCTTGTCAAGACGCAAGAGTCAGGTTTCCGTGGCGTTGGAATCCCGAGATCAACGTTTTGGCACGTTTCAAAATATTCAAACGGTTGTCTTGCGACGAGGCAGTTCCTTCAGTGGAGATGAATGAACCGTTCGCTGTACGAGACTATGGAGTGGGAGCTTGGAGGCAGGGTTAATTCCAACATCGTTGATGACTCTTGGGTTTGCACTGGTCCTCCTCCTCCTCCTTCTCCCTCATCTTGTTTCGCTTCTTCTTCGTGCAGATCACTGGCCCTGAGGCTCGTTCAAGCCTGAAGCAGCTGCCAACCGGTGCGAAGCGAACCTGCAACGAATCGGATGGGCAAGTCCGACCCCCGATCGGAAGTCTCATCTTCCTCCCCGTTTCTCTCCACAAGCCAGGTCGCCTGCGGGGTGCGCGAACACAGTCTCCGAGGTGGGGATTTAGCCGTAACCGCCGCCTGGGAGGTCGAACCTCGGGAACCTCGGCAGGAAGCCCACACGGATATATATATATATATATATATATATAAATATATATAAATATAGTCGGCCCCCCCTGGGCCTAAAGAACCATATCAATACTCACCAGCAGCCTCGCCCCCGACCTTCCCGACCTCCGACGGCGCGAAGCCACCGAGGCATCGCGAAAAGCCGGCGCCAGAGCCATTCGGGGGTGGACAGAACCCCCAACAGTGACACGTCGATTAGTGAATTGTCCGTTTTCGGTTCTCGAGAGGGCGCCGTGGCCGCTATTTTCCAGGCTTGCGCCCGCCAGGTTTGGGCCTCAGGTCGTTTTCACTAAACCACGTTTTACTAAAGGGGGGTTCTGTCCATCCCCGAGCCAAAGACCCAGCCTCTGCGCTCCCCTCCTCGAGCTGGGCCGGCCGTGCGAGAGTCCCGCGGGCGCCCCGCCGGGCGAGAGAGGACGCCCGCAGTGTGAGACTCGCGAGGCGCCAGGGTTTCACGGGGCTCCGCGCTCCGCCCATGGCCTCCCTCCTCCTCCTCCTCCTCCTCCTCCTCCTCCTCCCTCCTCCTCCCCCTCCTCCTCCTCCTCCTCCTCCTCCTCCTCCTCCTCCTCCTCCTCCTCCTCCGCCCCTCGGCCCAAGCAGCCTGGGCCCCCCCCCTCCGCGCCGACGGCAAGATTCGGATCCACCTCCCACGCGTCTTGAGCTTCCCGGGGAGGGGCGCCACGAGGCCGAGGCGCAGTGGAGGCGGCTGAGGCTCTGGCCTCCGGGGGCCGGATCTCTGTCCACGTCCACTGCGACCTTGGTTTCTGGGGAAGGCAGCTCGAAGCTCCAAGACGGAGTGGACATGAATACAAATCCTGCCCGCACCCTCTGGACCGGCCGCGGGCGCTGCGCAGCCTTCCTCCGCCGGCGCTCCGAGGGGCTCTCTCCGCCGTCCGGGGCGGGATGCCGCGGCGGTGCGCGAGGCTGGCGCTGGCCTGGGCTTGCCTCCGCACCGAGGCCTGGGATGGGGGGCAACCGCAAGGATGGACGGCGGCGGCTCGAAGCTTTCGGACGTTGTCGTCGGCTCTCGGCTGCTTTCCAGCACCCGGGGAGGTCTCCATCGGCTGCGCCTCGCCGAGGGGAGTCCGGGTGGTGGATGGACCGGCGGAAGGCCGACCCGGAAACAAAGGGGCAACGATAAAGGTGGGATAGGTTCGGCGCCTTCCTCCTCCTCCTCCTAGAACTTACCATCAGATACACCTGTGGGCCTGTTGTCTACGTGGCTGACAATGAGGAGGTGGTGAACGGGTGGTGGGCTCGGAAGTTCAAGAATCCCTCGGGTGAGATGGCATCCACTTGGAGATCCATCGGGGCCTTATTAGCTGAGCAGAAGCGTCCTCATCATGAAATTGTCGTTCTGTGGATACCGTCGCATTTGGACCTTGTCGAAGCCAAAAGAAGAGGCATCCCCCAGCACTTCTTGATCGGGAATACTGTAGTGGACGAGCTCGCGGGTGCGAGCGCTTTGGAGGCCCGCCTTTCAGAGAGTGTTCGTGCGAGGATTTTGGAGGTAGAGAGTACAGCCAGTCTTGTACGGAAGCGCCTAATGAGGGCAACCCTGGACGTTATGGCAGTGACGAACAGAAAGCCCGAGAGACCGCCTCCATCCAATGCTGATGCTGCTGCCTCTTCCTCCCCTCCTCCTCCCCCTCCCCCTCGCCCCTTGCCGCCGCCTTCGCCCGCCGCCGTCGCCCTCTTCGGGTCGTCCCATCGTGTCGATCCCGAGGGCAGGAGGTGTACCAACTGCTTCTCGGCGGCGAGCCGAGGGACACGGACGGCATGGCTCAGAACGCCGTGCTGTCCGCCTCAGGCCGTGGGCGGGGGGCTCTTCAAGGCGGCCCCAGGGTCAGGGGCTGTACACATCGGGGGGTCCTTTGCGCATCATTCGCACCGAATGTATTTTCATTCCGCCAGTGGTTATTGGTTCTGCAGAGTCTGCTCTCGATTCGGTACCGATCAGATTCGGGACCTAGGTAAGGAATGCTCTACAGCCAATCTGACGCCCAAGAGGCGGGAGATATTAGATCGTCTCTCCAGGGGCTTAAAGCCCAAGGAGTAATGTGGCCCTTGTTGTGACGCTTCGCGTCTGTCCAGTTCCAGTTCCAGTTCCCTCCTCCTCCTCCTCCTCCTCCTCCTCCTCCTCCTCCTCCTCCTCCTCCTCCTCCTCCTCCTCCTCCTCCTCCTCCTCCTCCTCCTCCTCCTCCTCCTCCTCCTCCTCCTCCTCCTCCTCCTCCTCCTCCTCCTCCTCCTCCTCCCTCCTCCTCCCCCCCCCTCCTCCACCTCCTCCTCCTCCTCCTCCTCCTCCTCCTCCTCCTCCTCCTCCTCCTCCTCCTCCTCCTCCCCTCCTCCTCCTCCTCCTCCTCCTCCTCCTCCTCCTCCTCCTCCTCCTCCTCCTCCTCCTCCTCCTCCTCCTCCTCCTCCTCCTCCTCCTCCTCCTCCTCCTCCTCTCTCCTCCTCCTCCTCCTCCTCCTCCTCCTCCTCCTCCTCCTCCTCCTCCCCTCCTCCTCCTCCTCCTCCCTCCTCCTCCTCCTCCTCCTCCTCCTCCTCCTCCTCCTCCTCCTCCTCCACTCTCCCCCTCCTCCTCTTCCTCCTCCTCCTGCTGTCCTCCTCCTCCTCTTCCTCCTCCTCCTCCTCCTCCTCCTCCTCCTTGTCCTCCTTCCTCTCCTCCTTCTCCTCCTCCTCCTCCTCTCCTCCTCCTCCTCCTCCTTGTCCTCCTCCTTCTCCTCCTCCTCCTCCTCCTCCTCCTCCTCCTTGTCCTCCTCCTTCTCCTCCTCCTCCTCCTCCTCCTCCTCCTCCCCTCCTCCTCCTCCTCCTCCCTCCTCCTGTCCTTGTCCTCCTCCCCGTCCTCTTCCTCCTTCTCCTCTCCTCCTCCTCCTCCTCCTCCTCCTCCTCCTCCTCCCATCCTCCTCTTTCTGGAACCCGCCACATCCACCCATACAACCCTCGCGCGGGTGTCGCCTCCGCGCGCCCTCATCTCCTGAGGCGTGGCTGCTTTGCCACTGCTTCCATCTTCCCATTTCGCCAGGAGCCTTCGCCATTGGTCTTGGTCGGATTGGCACCCGCATCCCATTGGCCCGTGTGTGTGTGTTGGCTTGTGGATGCCATGACTCCCCAGGCGCCATCCTTTTTGAAGCCCTCGCAAGCGACAGTTGCACGTCCGATGTCTGACACCCGCTGGACCCGTAGACATATTTTCCTCGCCCATGTCGTAGGGAGAGGAGGGGCTGAGGCATATGAGTATAAGGCAGGTTCGCGCCGCGTCGACGCCGCGGCGACTTCAACGATGGCGTTCAAGGTTGGGCCACTGGCGCTCTGAGCCAGGTCAGCCATGAACGATCTCCGTTGATAGATAGCCGAGGACGCCCTACATTGAAAGCCCTACGCGGTGTCAGAGACCAGCGCCCAAGAAGCCACGATTAGGACCTCCGTGGCCATTTCGGCTCCAGGCTCGAGAGCTCCTGTGGCCCTGGATCGGGCGGCCGGCCCGCGCCACCGCTCGCCTGCCAGGTCAGCCGCTGCGCTCCGAGAGGCGGGCATGTCTTGCCGCCACCGCGACCGCCGCGGGGCGGCCGCGGCAGCTGCTGTCGCAGCTCGGGCACCTGGCCCCAACCGCCGGCGCCTGGCCGGTCGCGGCGTCCGCCCTGGTGCGCGGGGCGCCGCTGCGGGCTACGGCCGCCGGCCACGGCCGCCGGCCCGCCGGCTCCTGCGGCTAGACACCGCGGCAGCGCGGAGCGCCAGAGCGGCGTCAAGGACATACACTGGGATAGACAAAAACGGGCGTGGCGCTTTCGGTATAAGATACAGAACGGCCCGGATCAAGGTTGTGCGAAGCGTCCCGCGTTCCGCCCGAAGGACGATTCGTTGGAGGAGGTGGAGCAGGCGCGGTTCGCCGCCGTCGAGGCGCTGCGGCGGCTGCAGGAGGAGGACCGCGCGCTCGGGTCGATCAGCTCGGGCCAGCACAGCGCGGAGCGCCAGAGCGGCGTCAAGCACACAAACTGGTATAGAACGCACCAGGCGCTGCGGCGGCTGGAGGAGGAAGACCAGCTCGGACGGGCCTGCGGTGCCAGCTACCACCGCGCAAAGCATCAGAGCGGCGTCGAGCACATATACTGGGTCAAAGACCGACACGTGTGGCGTGTGAGATACGTGATGAAGAACGGCCCACACAAAGGCACCAACACACAACGCAACTTCCGCCCGACGGACGGTTCGCAGGAGGAGGTAGAGCGGGCGCGGCTCGCCGCCGTCGAGGCTCTGCGGCGGCTCCAGGAGGAGGACCGTGCGCTCGGGCCGATCAGCTTGGGCAGGCACAGCGTGGAGCGCCAGAGCGGCGTTCAGAACGTTAACTGGGTCAGCACGAGACAGGCTTGGCGTGTGAGATACGTGATGAAGTACGGCCCACACAAGGGCACCAGGAAGCAACCCAGCTGTCGCCCGAAGGACAAATCAGCAGAGGAGGTAGAGCGGGCACGGCTCGACGCCGTCGAGGCGCTGCGGGTGCTCCAGGAGGAGGACCTCGCGCTAAGGCCGATCAGCTCGGGCCGACGGGCAGAGGAACGCCAGAGCGGCGTACGGGCAGAGGAACGCCAGAGCGGCGCCAAGCACATAAACTGGCATAGAACGACACAGGCGTGGCGCGTTAAGTACCGGATACGGAACGGTCCAGACAAGGGCACCAGGAAGCAACCCAGCTTCCGCCCGAAGGACGGGTCGCCAGAGGAGGTTGAGCGGGCGCGTCTCGCCGCCGTCGAGGCGCTGCGGCGGCTCCAGGAGGAGGACCTTGCCCTGGGTCCGATCAGCTCGGACCGGCACGGCGCGGAGCGCCAGAGTGGCGTCAAGTACGTTCATTGGGTCAGCAACAGACAGACGTGGCGTGTGAGATACGTGATGAAGAACGGCCCAGAAAGGCACCACGAAACAGCGCATCTTCCGCCCGACGGACGAGTCGCCAGAGGAGGTGGAACGGGCGCGGCTCGCCGCCGTCGAGGCGCTGCGGCGCTTCCATGAGGAGGGCGGCGCGCTCGAGCCGAGCGGCTCGGGCGGGCCCTGTGCCAGCCGCGGCCGCGTGGAGGTGCCGCTTCTCGACGGGCTGTTTCTCGTCGTCGGGGAGGATGTTTGACGCGTCTGGCGGGTTCCTGAAGGTGACGGTCGGCTACACTAGCGGCAAGATGAAGCCCGCGCACGAGAGCGTGCGGACGGGCACTCCGACGCCCACGCGATCCGCACAGAGTTCGACCCTGAGCCGATTGCCTACGACGCCCTCCTCACCCACTTTGGCCACACACGTGAGGGCACGCCAGCGCCAGTGGGCTTGTTGCTCGCGGAGGGGGCACAATACCATACGCAGTACAATGATACGCAGCGCCACTGTACGCAGTACTACTGTACGCAGTGCTACTCGGCAGTCTGGTACCACTTACGCAGTACTGGTCGGCAGTGTGGCATCGCGACGAGGAACAAGAGAGAGGCTCTGCAAGCACGCCCCAGCCAAGGCGCCCTGGACGTCCACGCCGCGCGAGCGGAGGAGTGCCGCGACGCGGCGAGGCACCACCAGAAGATCTACCACGAGGGGCTGCAGCGTGCAGTGCCGCGGGGACCTCCATCCCTCCGCCCTTCTCTGCCAGCTCCTCGCCCCTCTCTGTCGCCTTCGCCTTCCCACGAGCTGCGCCGCCGCTGCCGTCGCTGGCCCGCGGGAGCTTGGCGTCTCGGCGGCGGCGGCCGGTGAGAGCGGTGTCGTGGTCATCTGCTGGCACAGGCGCTCGAGGTGCACCCCAGTAGACGCTGGCTGCAGCAGCCGGCGGGCCGCGGGGGCTGCGCGGGCGGAGGCGATTCGGTACTCCGCGCTGCGAGCTCTCGGCTCCCAGCGCCCCGCTGGCAGCGCCCGGCGACGGCGACATGCCCGCGGCGGGATTCTGGCCCGCCGTGCGCCCGAGGGGGGATTTCTGCACGGGCGGCTGCTGCGGCGCGGAAGGGCCTGCTGGCGGAGGGCCTCGCGGAGGCCGCGCTGTGGGCGCGGGAGCTCGAAGAAGAGAAGCAAGTGTATATCCTTTGTTTTCTTGGAGCGGGTGTCCGCCTCGGAGTGGACTCTGTCGACCACCGACATCGCCGCGTATGGCGTCGCGTTTGGCGACGGCGATGCCATGCGTCGTACGTGCGAGAGCTACTTGTGTGAACAGATCGACGGTGCGTGGCAGGAGCTGAAAGCCCTGAGTCCCGAGCAGTGGTCTGGTTTCTAGGCGGCCAGGTACGAGCTGCGCGGCCACATTGCCCCTCGTGATGGCAGCCATATGTTTCAGATACCTGACAGCAAGCACAACGCTGGCAGTCAGCACTCGCCTGGCTCAAACGTCTTTCGAAACATCGCGTGCATCTACTACCTCACCAAAGGCTGGAGGCAAGAGTACGGTGGCAGACTTGTCGACTTGCATCATCCAGACTACCGCTGGGCCCTCGTCCCGAAGTTCGGCTCCACGATGGCTTCCGTGGTGCCCCGCAGGCACGAGGTGGAGGCCCTGGCGCAGGGATGCCCGCCGCAGTAGTCCGTCTCTGGCCGGTTCAGCGACGGCCGCTGCTTCATGGAGGACGAAACAACCCTTAATCCTCCTCTAGTGACAGGGCCCGGCTTGAATAAGGAACACTTACTTTTCAAAAGGGGCTCGGTCGTTCCTTTGGTTTGCATGCGCTCCGCCACCTTTTTGGCGGCGAGCCCCCGGTGCTCCTTCGGACTTCCTAGACTCACTTGGTTTTAAAAAGGGGCTTCGTTCCTTATTTATCGTTCCTTGGCTCAGGCCGAATACTGTAACAGAGTGAAGACTAGGGGCCATATTGTTGCTAATCGCCGCCGCTCGCCGCTCCACGAGTTCGGGGCGGAGGTGTCCTGCACGGAGGCGTGGCGGTGAGCCGGCGTTGAGCCGGCGGGGCGGCTTCTGCGCGGCAGGCGGCGGGGCCGCGGCTCGCGCGCAAGAAAAGAAGAGGCTACGATTGGAACGAGCCGTATACATATGTGTGTCTTTCGTTGTTTTCCCCTGCACGACACCCTGGAGAAGGCACGAACACACCCAGCACAACGCCTCGGCAGTGCGATCCTGAGCCCTCTGAGATGGTGTGTGTGTGTGTGTGTGCGTGTGTGGGTGGGTGCGTGCGTGCGTCCGTGCGTGCGTGCGTGCCTGCGTGCCTGCGTGCCTGCGTGCCTGCGTGCCTGCGTGCCTGCGTGCCTGCGTGCCTGCGTGCCTGCGTGCCTGCGTGCCTGCGTGCCTGCGTGCCTGCGTGCCTGCGTGCCTGCGTGCCTGCGTGCCTGCGTGCCTGCGTGCCTGCGTGCCAGCGTGCCTGCGTGCCTGCGTGCCTGCGTGCCTGCGTGCCTGCGTGCCTGCGTGGGTGGGTGGGTGGGTGGTGCGTGGGTGCGTGGTGCGTGGGTGCGTGGGTGCGTGGGTGCGTGGGTGCGTGGGTGGGTGGGTGGGTTGGGTGCGTGGTGTGTGCGTGTGTGCGTGTGTGCGTGTGTGCGCGTGTGTGTATGTGTGTGTGTGCGTGTGTGTGTGTGTGTGTGTGCGTGTGTGTGCGTGTGTGTGTGTGTGTGTGCGTGTGTGTGTGTGCGTGTGTGTGTGTGTCTCTGTGTGTGTGTTGTGTGTGTGTGCGTGTGTGTGTGTGTGTGTGTGCGTGTGTGTGTGTGTGTGTGTGTGTCTGTGTGTGTTGTTTGCGTGTGTGTGTGTGTGTGTGTGTGTGTGTGTGTGTGTGTGTGTGTGTGTGTGTGTGTGTGTGCGCCGCGCCCTTTTGGCCGGGGCCAGGAGGGTCTCTACAGCGCCCTGCGGCCCGGGACGGCCAGTCACGGTGGTGGTGGTGGTGGCGTGTTCCTGTGACCCTTGCGGGCCCAGACATGCGACGTCCTGACCCTCTCTCGGGACGGCGCCCCTGGAAGTCCCGAGCCTTTTCTCTGGGACCAGCTGCTCGTCCCGAGTCGTTGTTGTTGACGGCCCGGCGAGGGCTTTCGGGGGCCGAAGATTGGGAAGGATCGCCCGTCCTGCTTTTTTGTGTTGAGTCGGGCCTGTCCCTCTACAGGGGGGATATGCAAAAATAGTCAAACAATAGTCGGGGGACGATTTTTTGACTATTCTTGACCATTTGGGGAATCCGCTTTGGGATTTTGTTTTATCTTTCGTCCAAAATGCCCCTGTACGGGGACAGGCCCGACCTACTGCTTTCCCTTGCGACGCGAGCATGTCTGGGGAGTTCTCGTCCCAGAGGCGCGGGGGGAGGCGACGCCGCCGCCGGGGCCAGCGGCCGCCGCCTGCGTCGGCTCCTTCCCCGCGGACTGCAGCGCGGCGCGCTGCTGCGCGGACCCCGGCGAGCGGTGCTTCCGGAAGCACGAGTGGTACGCCTCGTGCTTGGCGCAGTGCAGCCCGGGCCCGAGTCAGGCGGGCAACCCGGACGCCGACGACTGGGACTGCGAGGATTCTAGGGGGGAAAACGCACACAGGCACAATTCGTGGTGGACTCCCAGGAAGATGTGGGAAGGGGGGGGGGGAGACGAGAACCCGGGAGATGTGGGAAGATGTGGGTAATCCTGGGATCTGTGTGTACAGTCGGGGCTCTGAAGAAGGAACCCTTTTCGTTGGGGAGGGGCTCGGTGTTCCTTGATTGTTCTGCAGTTTGCCTTCTGTTTTCCTGAGGTTTTCCATGGGAAATCGAAGCTCAACTTATGGGAGGAAGGGGCCCCGTTCCTTACTTAGGGTTCCTTAGGTCAACGCCCCGACTGTACTTCCTTGTGCCCCTGGGCCCCCGACGAGGAGCTCGTCGCCGAACAGGCCGAGGACCCTGCCCTGCCGCCGGCGGCGGCCGCGGCCACGACGGCGGCGCCGCCGCGCGAGGCGGCGCTGGGCACGACGGGCGCGCCGCAGGGCGGCGGCGGCCTGACCGGGGACGAGGTGCTGGCGCACGCGCCCGAGTTCTCGGCGCTGGCGCAGGGCGGCCCCGGGAACGAGACGGAGGGGCAGCCCGGGCAGAGGCCGAGGGGCGGAACAGGTGTCCTCCCCCTCCTCCTCCTCCTCCGCCTCCTCCTCCTCCTCCTCGTCCTCCCCCCCCCTCCTCCTCCTCCTCCTCCTCCTCCTCCTCCTCCTCCTCCTCCTCCTCCTCCTCCTCCTCCTCCTCCTCCTCCTCCTCCTCCTCCTCCTCCTCCTCCTCCTCCTCCTCCTCCTCCTCCTCCTCCTCCTCCTCCTCCTCCTCCTCCCCTCGCTCTCGCCCCCCCTATCGCCCCTCCTGAGGGAGGCCCTCGTCGCCACCGCTGGGTTCGCCTCGAGGGTCTGGTCAGAGCGCACCCCAGGAGAGCTCCGGGGTGTGGCGGCATCGGTGCCTCTCGGTTGCCCCAGAGGCCCCGGAGCCCGCGCAGCGCCGGCCACCGCCGGAGACGACAGAGCACCACCGAGTCCCCTGCGGCGGAGTGCCCGCCGTGCACGAGGAGCGAGCGCGACGTGCCCGACGTGGTCATCCCGTTCTACGAGCGAGACCTGTGCAAGGTCGTTGGATGCTCGTTTGGGGGACCTTCTTGGGGCCCACCTAACGGATCTGTTCGACGATAGTTCGACCCCAGTGCGACTCAAGTTCGACTCAGGTTCGACTCAGGTTCGACTCAAGGTCGATTCGAATCGACGGACGTTCGACTCAGCTTCGACGCAAGAGTGGAGCGAGTAGCTCCAGTAAGGTCCCCAGAATGAGCAGCCAAGGTCGGGTACACGGTAGAGTCGATCGCCGTACACGATCGCCACGGCACCCTGGGCACCGTGATCCTTATGTGGGTGTCTGCGCAGCCGATCGCCGCGTTCCAGGAGCAGGTCGACAAGATCCAGGCGTCCTTGTCCGGCTCCCACAAGGTCAAGGTCTTGGACTTCTCCCCGCAGGTGACCGCGGAAGGCGCAGGCGGATGGTTCGCCCAGCAGGTCTTCAAGCTGAAGGTGGCGTCGCTGGTGAGCTCGGACTTCTACGTCGTCCTAGACAGCAAGAACACACTGATTCGAGACATTGAGCCCGAGCTGTTCTTCACGACTTGCAATCAGGGCAAGATCTTCGGGGAGTTCGAGCCCAACGACATTCCCGAGCCGCACTCGGGTTGGTACGAGGCGTCTGCCCGCGTGCTGAGCTTGCCAGCCCCGGTGGAAGCTGGAGGCAAGTGGCCCACCTCCATCACGCCGATGCTCATGCACACCCAGACGGTGCTGGAGATGTTGGCCTCCATCGGCGAGGGCCCCAGCGTGGACGCGCTGTGCGCGGGGCCTCTGTGCGACATGCTGGGCGTGCACTCTGCGACGGGCTCTGGCGCCACTGAGTTCACCATGTACGTCCTCGCCGCCCGTGCCAGGCAAGAGATGGAGTGCGACATCGCCGTCGTGGATCCCGACTCGGCCAACCCCCCAGCGATCTCGCTGTGGAGAGGTGAGGGCGGCCAGATGAAGATTAACGGGGACAACTGCCGGGACATCTCGAGCGGCAAGACCGTCCCCTTCATGTTCGGGGCGCAGTACCAGTCCCTGGACGGCCTCGACGACGCCGCGAGGGCCACGGTGGAGGCCGACATGCTCCGCATCTTCACGCAGGCGAAGCTGCACAACGCTTCCCTGACGTCCACCGACGCGCTCCTCCAGTGCGTTGCCGGCGACATGGAGGGACGGGCCGGGCCCGTGCTCGACCTGCGCGAAGGGAGCGACGAGAGTGACGGCGGGGGTGACGAGGAGGACGCGTTCTGCTGCACCGGCGCCTCGGACGCGGGGGACGTCTGTGGCACCTGCTTCGCGGGCGCCCGCGAGGGGCCGGGCAGCTTCTGCGGCGCCTCGGCGGAGCAGTGCCTGCAGTGCGGGGCGGCGTCCTGGTGCGGGGCGCCGGGCACGGTGGCGCAGATCACCGTCATGGAGGATGCGGCCACGCGCGGGAGAGCGCCGTCGTTGGGGTGAGCCTTGGTGTGGGGCCCACGGGGGTCCCCTCGGGCACTGGCCTGCGCGCTTGGCCTTGGCGTCCATGCGGCCACCGCAGAGTTGAGTCGGGCCTGTCCCTCTACAGGAGGAATACTCAAACATAGTAACACACAGTCTCTGGGGACGATTTGTTTTAAAGTATTTTCTGGTATGTTTGAACATGTTTTGCGTATGTTTGATTTTTCGTCAACAACTCCCATGTAGGAGAACATGCCCGACTTAACCGTGCAGCCGCGCACCAGAGGTCTCTCTTGCCCAGGGTCACTCTCGCGCGTAGCCGGAGGACGACAGCGTGGCGCCCATGCCGCGGCAGGACGCGGCCCGGGCCGCGCAGTGGGCCGCCGGCACCGCCGCCGCCGCCCTGGCCGCCGCCTCGGCGGTGGCTCTCGCCCGCCGCGCGGCGCCCCGCTCGTCGCGGCTGGTGGTGTACGAGAATCTGGCCGAGGCGTGCTGAGTGCCATCCTTTGGCCTGCCCGTGACTGGAATTCGTGCGCCCTCCGATGGCCAAGCGCCGGCCACGCGCGAGGAGCGACCCTCCGCAAGGGGGTGACCTTTCGGTGCGGGCCCACAGGGGTGCTCCCGCCTTCTGCTTGGCGCGCTGAGATTTGGCCGTTCCGCGGCCCTCCAGATCTGCACACCAAAGGCCGCTCCTGCCAAGGGTCACACCTGCGTGTAGCCGCGATGGCAAGGCGGCGTGCCAAGGGCGGGCATAGGGGGGGCTCGGAGAAGAGCGGCCCTCCGAGGAGGCGGGGGGGGGCTTCTCGGAGGCCCTAGTGCCTTCCGAGGAGCCTTCTCCAGGAGCCTGTGGTCCCTGGAAGGGCCGCTCCCTTTCCCCCCGCCCTCCCCTGGTGCGCCGCCTCGATGGGCAATGGAATTGGCGGGGCTGCCCCCGCCGACTGCAGACCATGTCGGCTCCATCTCCGCAGAGGGCGCCTACCACCACGAGCCACCATCGCCAGGGTCACCCTGGGCCCTGTCCCTGGCCCTGGCCCTGGCATAGCGGCCCCTCTGGGCTGAGGCCAGCAGCAGGACTTCTGGTCGAATGCACCGCCCCAGGGCTCGCGATGGCCCTGGCCAGGGCCATCCTGGGCCCCAGCACTGCGCGGGCGTCCTCCTGGCCTGCCAGCAGGGTCTGCGCCGTCCTGGGGCTCGGGGCCTCGTGAGCCCTGGCTTGGTGTGGACGTCCTCCGGGCCTCCCATGGGGCGGGAGGGACTGCACCGCCCTGCGGGCCAAGGGCCACCCCAGGCCCTGGGCGCCAAAGTCGGCGCCCCCCTTCCAGGGCCTGCGCAGGGACCGCAAGAACGCCTTTCGGGGGCCCAGGGTGGCACCGCACAAGCGTGGTGCTCGTGGTGTGCTGGACGCCCCTCGACCGAGAGCCCACGGTCACCACCCCGCCTGCGGCCCTCCATGCTGCGCCGCGGCCCCTCGGGGGCCGCAGCGCACCCCACGCGGAAGCCCAGGCCAGATTTCGTGGCGTGCTCGATCATCATGCTCGAGGAGGAGGGGGAGGAGGAGGAGGAGGAGGAGGAGGAGGAGGAGGAGGAGGAGGAGGAGGAGGAGGAGGGGGAGGGGGAGAGGGAGGAGTGGAGTGGTGCCCCTCGGTGCTCTCGTCGCGGCCCCCCCTGCGGATCCGGGCACGGCCGGCGGCTCGAGCCTCGGGCCTGCCTTGGCACCCGAGCTGCGCCCGCGGGCGCGCGCCCAGGCTGCCGGCCTCGCGGCCGCGGCCTGGCTCGGGCCGGCCGGAAGGGGGGGGATTGGGAAAGGGGGGGTACGGAATTTGCTGCATGATTTCGGCCTCACCGAGGGGCCCATCCCTCGATGCATGGCCGCCTCCGGCGCCGGGAGGCGCCGGGGAAATCGGCTACGTGAGCTGATTTTCCCCCCCCCCCCCTTTGCTATCCCCCCTTTCGCCCGACCCGACTGGCGGCCTCTTGCCCCTCGGAGGGGGGGGGGGGAACCAGAAAGCTCGGAGGGCCAGCCGCGACAGCGGTGGCCCTCCCTGGCGTGTGCTCCGCCCCCTCGTGGCATCTTGGGGGCTGCTCGTCGCCACGGCTGGATCCGGCAGGCCGGGGCGGACCCCAGGAAGGGTCGGCCTCGCGCAGAGGGGGGTGGGGCGCGGGGGGCGGGAAAGTTTCTTAGAACCACCCCTGCTTCTTAGAAGGCGCAGGCCTCGTCTGCAGATGTAGGGCCGGCGTCCTCTAAGAATCAGCCTCCTTCTGCTGAGCCTTCCCCTTGGCATCGCTCGGACGTGTGCATTTTTCTTTCGGCGAGGACCATCGAGGAGCACCCTTCATCACTTGCCGAAAAAACCACGCACGAAACCATAGAAACACAGGGAATGGACGTCCGAGCGATGGCCAGTTGTGCGCTCCGCCAAGAGGCTCCAGGGACCGCTTTTCAGCGGCTGTGGGCGGGGCGGGGAGCCTCCGTCGTCTCAACGCCGTTGAGAGTGGGAAGCCCGCCCCGCGTGGCGAACCTTCGCCTCCCCCCCCCCCCAATCCTTCTCCTCCTCCTCCTCCTCCTCCTCCTCCTCCTCCTCCTCCTCCTCCTCCTCCCCCTCCTCCTCCTCCTCCTCCTCCTCCTCCTCCTCCTCCTCCTCCTCCTCCTCCTCCTCCTCCTGCTCCTCCTCCTCCTCCTCCTCCTCCTCCTCCCCTGAGGAGCGCCACCAGCCGTCAGCGGTCCACGGCTGCCTTCCCGAGCCCGAGGTCGGAGGCAGTCTCGGGCGAGGCGCCGCAGAAGGGCCAGGCCGCGCCACCATTGGTGGCATCGCTCGGACGTGTACATTTTTCCTTCGGCGAGGACCATCGAGGAGCATCCTTGATCATTTGGCGAAAAAAACCACGCACGAAACCGAAAAAAAACACAGGAAATGGACGTCCGAGCGATGGCCAGGGGAGGGCCTCTGGCTGGCTCCTCACAGTGGTGGTGGTGGTGGTGGTGGTGCCGAGGTCCTTTCTCTGGGGGGGGGAGCTCGAGTGCGGTGGGCGCCTTTCGCGAGTGCGCTCGTCACAGCGAAGAGAAGTTTTCGAGATCTGATCTTCGTCTACATCGAAGCCCATGTTGTTCTGGATTTTTTTTTGGGTTGGGAGCGCATCCCGAATCGTCCGGAGTTTGTCGTCGCCACGGCGGGTCTTGGCTCGAACGTCTCACGAGTATGCGTCTTCAGGGTTTGAGCTTGAGTTGGTTCATTTTTGGGGGATTCGCCATGAGGACACGGGGCCCTAAACTCGAGTTGACATCGCGTTCGGCCTCGTCTGGCCCATCTCCAGATCCAGGGCTGCCAACAACAAGTCACGTTGAGAAGGCTGTCCCGAGGCAAGCCCGGGAATCCAGGGCCCAGTTCCGTCACCACTCGTGCTCCATCCTGGTAGTTCCTTGGCGGCGTTGGTTGGAAGATGCAAGCAGTCAATTCGGTGCACCCTGTGTTGTCTGCACGCTAGTTTTGCTAGACGGGTTACCCTGGCTCGTCATCACGCCGCCCGGCGTGTCCGATTTGCCAAATGTATGTTTCTGGTTACACATCCAGCGTTGTATGCATCCGTTCTTTGCTCATCGCACCCATGAGTTGGCCAGTGCTTAAGGGGCACGGCGGTTCCGAAATATGCCACGTACCGCAGCCAGTACAGATGAGTTGCGGCTGAAAAGGGGAGTGGCGGAGTGCCTGCGGTGCACGGCCTCTTCGGCCTCGAGCTTCTTCTCCACATCGTTCTCCCCACCCCTCTTGTCCTCGTTATCGTCCTCAATGTTCCTCCTTCCCCTCTCACTCTTCCCGGAACACCCCCGTCCGTGTTATCCCTCTCTCTTCTCCATGTCCTTCTCTTCCTGGTCCGCCCGAAGCACTTATTCCTCCTCTTCCTTCTCCTCCTTATCCTTCTCCTCCTCCTCCTCCTCCTCCTCCTTCTCCTCCTCCCCGTTCTCCTCCTGATTCCCGTTCTCGCCCTCCTCGCCCTCCTCATTCTCCTCCATCCCTCCTCCCGCCATCCTCCTCCTCCTCCTCGTCCATCCTTCCTTCTTCTTGTCTCTCTCTTCCTCCATCCCTCCTTCTCCTCGGCGCTCTTCCCCTTGTCCTTCTCCTCCCTCTTCCTCCTCGCTTTCACGACTCAGGAGGCTTAAGCCATCCCGCTGGAGTCCACGGCTGAGGCGTCGTGGGTTTCTTTGGCACTGTGCGGGGATTCATGTGGGCGTCTTGGGAATTGTTTGGGGACTTGGCGGAGCCTCTTGGAGACAGGTTTGAAGCGTGCTGGGTGGCGCTTTGGGGCCTTTTTTGAGCCTCTTGGTCTCTTTGGGCTTCGTGGGGGCTCTTCGCGGGGGCTTCTTGTGGCCTTTCGGGGGCTCGTTGGGGCCGACGGTCGGATTGTCGGTTCATCTTCTCCCTCTTCGCCTCTGACGGGGCCCTCGGGGGGCGATCGTTGGCTGTCTTGGGCCCCTCTTTGGGCCGTACTAAAGCCTTCTTAGGCCGTCCTGGGGCCCTCGTAGGGGGCTCCCTCTTCCCTCGTTCTAGCCATTCTCCTCCTGCTCCTCCATCAGAAACATCCCTGCCCTTCACTGACCATCCTCTCCGCACTCGCCTCCTCCATCATCCTTGTTCCTGCTGCATCATCATCATCATCAGCAGCGTCAGCATCATCCCTCTTTCTCTCCCACCGCATCAGCATTGTCATCATCAGCTTCATCCCATTACACTCCCTGGCATCTCTACTGCATCCTCTACCCCGTCTTCTCCCCCTTCTTCATCACTTCTCCGCATCCCTTCTCCCCATCCTATTTCTTCGTGCTTGTTCTCTCCCTCTCTTGTGTTTGTCTCCCCCTTTTCGTGTTTTTGTGTTTCTCCCCTCTCGCACTTTCTCCCTCGCCCTCTCACGTCTACCATCGATCCTCTTGCCCTTTCCTCCTCCTCCTCCTCCTCCTCCTCCTCCTCCTCCGCGTCCGCCTCCTCCTCCTCCTCCTCCTCCTCCTCCTCCTCCGCATCTGCCTCCTCCTCATCCGCCTTATCCTTCTTCTCCTCCTCCTCCTCCTCCTCCTCCTTTTCCTCCTCCTCCTCCTCCCCGTTCTCCCCCTGATTCCCGTTCTCGCCCTCCTCGCCCTCTGCTCCTCTCTTCGCCCTCCTCGCCCTCTGCTCCTCCCCCTGCTCCTCCTCCTCTTCCTCCCCCTCTGCTCCTCTCCTCGCCCTCCTCCCCCTCGTCCTCCTTCTCCCTCTTCGTCGTCGAGAGGGGTCCCGCCTGGCGCTCTCAGAGACATTTCTAGAAACCCGAGGACACGTCTGGAGACCTTCGGGTGTCTCTGGAGGCCGTCCGAGGCCTGTGGACACTCTGAAAAGTAGATCAGAGGGCTGGGATCTGTAGAGACAGCGAGCGTAGCGAGCATCATGCTGGTGCTTGGCTCAAGCACCAGCGTTCTATGTGCCAAGGCTGTGTACCAGCTCATTATTGCATTGGGAGCAGGGTTTATCATCTTCTGGACAATACACGGCTCAACATCTTACATTACACCTACCTTCCCATGCTCCTATCATTGATTGTCTTGTTTTTTCACATGGGCAGCGGGGAACTGGCCTCACTACCAGATGTGGTTAGCTCTGCCTTTGCGTCTTTATCCACGGCACGGCTTGGTATGCCGCCACTTCCATTGCGACGTCAAAGCGCGACTACTGGCTAGCAGGCGGGGGCGCCAATACCGGGAACGCTATGTCCCCTATATGCGACGCCCGCTTGACTACATTTAAAAGCGTATACGCCACGGCTCTACGCCATTCCACTCCGACTTACAGTGAGCTTGGGAACCAGCTAATACACCAACTTCCACAGCGCGGAAGCGCAACACCCATACTCCTAGATCAGCATGTGGACATGCCTCCACAGCCGATTCGCCGACTCACGGCGACAGATACACCAAAGGTAAAAAAAACAACACCAGCTATGACCCAACATGGAAGCAATACTCCAGGTTCATGAATTGAGACGATGACGCCGACGACGAATGGGCTTTCGGTAGCGGGGTGGCAATCAACGATTGGGGGATCCAGAATTGCAGGACAGCGAAACGAATGGCAACGAACGGAGCCCCCGACGACATCTTCACTGCAACCGAGGGCCCAAGATGTGCCCAACACAGGTGCGCATTTCTCCCTACCAGTTTGCAGTCGGGAACCTTGGCTCAGCTTGTCGCGCCGCCAGCTCTGGCCCGCCACGCTTCGGCCCGACACGCTGAGCACTGCTGGGCCCCCAAGCATCCACGCCCCGAGCCTTCACAGCCTCCCGTCCCGCGGAGTGGAGCGACATGGCATCCGCTTGCACGGCTTGGCGTGTCGCCAGGGCCGCCGCCGCGGAACGTTGAGCAAAAGGTCTCGTCGGTAGGATGGGACAGGCACTTTCGGGCGTCGTGTGACCCAGATCCACTGGCGTCGTGTAAAACATCACGACCGGAGGTTTTGGGCAATTTTCTGTCGGGTGCCCAGGGTACATGCCTCGCCGCTCCTCGGAATGGAACGCCGGTCCCGGGCAAGGGGTCCAGATCTTTGAGGGCCCAGGGGGTGAAGAGGAATCGCGACAGGGGGGGATGGACCCAAAAAAGGGAGATACAGGCGAGGTGTCATCTGATGATTCTTTCGGGGGGGGAGGCCGTCCCAGTAGGAGGAGGTGGCTTTCAGGAAGGTGTGGAGGACAGGAGGCTTGAGCTACAGTCGTGCATCTGATCGAGAAGCGTCCTCTCGAAAAGCTGGGCCAGCGTCTCTCAACCAACTTGCCAGAAAGCTGGTCCAGTGTCTTGAGCACTCTCGCCCCTCAAGCTTCTTTGAGCAGAAGTTGACCCAGGTGTGTTTTCCGAAAGTTCCAGGAAGCTGGCCCAGATTTCTTACTTGGTGGTTTTCTTGACCACATGTATGGCTGTAGTGGGGTGTGTGTTCGGCATTTGTCTTTCGATCCGTCCTATCACCGTCTCCGGCCTCCCGCAACCGTTTCATTGTCCTGCGATAGGCGGTCGTCGCGCCCAACCTGCTGTTACCCGCCCAGTTGTTGCTCCTTCCCTCCTCGATCGTCGGGCTTCTGGGAGGCCCTGTCAGGAGGAGAAGGAGGAGGAGGAGGAGGAGGAGGAGGAAGAGGAAAAGGAGGAGGAGGAGGAGGAGGAAGAGGGGGATGAGGAGGAGGAGGAAGAGGAAAAGGAGGAGGAGGAGGAAGAAGAGGAATAATAATAATAAGAAGAATGATAAGAAGACGTGCTCGCGCGCCGAGGAGGCACGAGACTCGGCGGCCTGGGCAGCTTCCTGCCTTCGGGGGCCCTCGCCGGGCCCCAGGACTGTCACACAGCGCTCCAGGATGGCAAGCGGGCCCTGGGGAAACGGGTCGGGATCTGCAGGGACCCCGTGCTGAGGAGAATCGGCGCATCCTCCCCACCACACAGTCGGGCCGCCGGAGAAGGAACCCTTTTCGTTGGGGAGGGGCTCGGTGTTCCCGAATCGTCTTGGATTTGTTCTCACGTGTTCCTCAGGTTTTCCCCGGGACACTGAAGTTGAACGTACGGGAGCAAGGGGCCTCGTGCCTTGTTTGGGGTGCCTTGTGACAGCGTCTTGGCTGTACGCCACGCACAGCCATTTGGGCTTGACCAGGAGCGGCAGAGGGGCCTCCCTCAGCCCTGCCGCCAGGCGCCATCTCTGCTTCCACCTCTGCGCGGCGATGATCGCCCGGCGGCTCTGCCTGGCCCCGTGGGCCGCGGCGGCGGCGGCCGGCGGCTACGAGAGGCACCGCTCCTACGTCGGGGCGGACTTCTTCAGCAAGTGGGACTTCGACAGCTCCCCCGACCCCACCAGCGGGCACGTCATCTACGTAGATAGCTCCGAGGCTCGGGCCAGACGAAAGGGGGGGATTGGGAAAGGAGGGGTTACGAAATCTGCTGCAGGCAGCTGGTTTCGGCCACACCGAGGGGCCCAGTCCTCGTTACATGGTCGTCTCTAGCGCCGGGAGGCGCCGGGATTCTCAAACATCCCCTTTGCTATCCCCCCCTTTCGCCCAGCCCGAGAGGCGCTGTCCACGGGCCTGGCCAACGCCACCGGCGACCGGGTGTACTTGGGTGCCGACATGACGTCGGACACAGGGGGTGCCGGGGCGGACGGGAGGGGGGGGGGTCGAAGCCGTGTCAAGTCCGAGGACACGTCCGTCTTGGGATGATGGTTTCGGGCTCCTGTGGGGCAGTCTTGGGGGTCCCGTGCGGCCGTCTGAGGCCCTCCTGGGCCGTCTTGGGGCTTTCCTGTAGGCCGTGGTGGGGCAGTCTTGGGCCGGCTGGAGGCCCTCCTTGGCCGAACGAGAGAGTGTAGGGGGCCGTCTTGGGCCGACGGCGGGCTTGCCAAGGCCGCCTTGGGCGTCTCCAGAGGCCTCTTTCCCATCCGCCCCGGGGAGGCGCTGGCCGCCGGTCCGTGCGCGTCAGGTCCAAGGACACGTTCGATTCGGGCCTCTTCATCGCAAGCATCGACCACGTGCCCACGGGGTGCAGCACGTGGCCCGCCTTCTGGATGTACGGGGAGGACGCCAACCACCCGTGGCCGTCGCTGGGCGAGTACGATGTGATCGAGGGGGTCGCAGGAGTTGGCAGAAAGCGGCCGACGGAACGGCGCCACGAGCACGAGCAGAACTCTTCTCGGCCCTCCGCGCAGGTCTCCTTGCTCTCGTGCGGCGTCCCGGGCCGCCCCTGGCGCCCTCCGCGCGACAGGGAGGGCGTCCGAGGGCGTCCAGCGCTGATTCACGAATTCCAAGTGGGGGTCTATGTGAGTCCGGAGGGGAAAAACACACAGACACAATTAATCGTCGATCCCGAGAAAATATGGGAAAATATGGGAAGTGGGGGGGGAAGACAAAAACCCAGAACATATGGGAAAATATGGAGATTATTTTTATTTGTGTGTATGTATTTGTGTGTCCTGGGGGCCCCTTCAGCGAGCCGGCGTCCGTCCCCGACCGTCGGCTCCTGCCTTGTCGAGGTGCCGTTTCCCCAGCTGCCGGCGGCGAGTCCCGCCCCCTGTGCCGGTCCAGCATTCTGGGCGGCGACTGCTCGCGTGAGCACGGGAGGCCGTCACGTGTGACACGTCGTGCCCCGACGCTTGGGAGTGCCGTGATGGGGACGACGATGCTGATGCTGATGATGATGATGATGATGATGATGATGATGAGGAGGAGGAGGAGGAGGAGGAGGAGGAGGAGGAGGAGGAGGAGGAGGGGGAGGAGGAGGAGGAGGAGGAGGATGACCAAGACGCATCAGCGATGTTGCAATTCACCCTCCCTCCAAGTTCTCTGTCTCTAGGTTCCTACAAGAATTCATTTTCTCTGCGGGAAGTGCCCGTCGGAAGACAACCGTTTTAGAACCCCTCCTAACACCACTCCTGGGACTTCAACGCCGCCAATCTACTGTACTGTTGCGTCCTGACGATCCTGCGCCGAGCCAGAACACCATTTCGTGGGACTGGAACTCCGCGAATCAACGTGATTGTTGCGCCCTGACAAGCTCATCCCGCGCCAGATCACGAGCCCCGGGACGCGAGGCATGGGAATCCGTTGGGTAGCTGCCAACGCTCAAGACGACTGCGCGCGGCGCTCCGGCGAGAGCCACAGTTTGACAAAGAGCTGCCCTGCAGAGGTGATGCGGTTGCACGCGTGTGAGTCGGAAGTGCAGCGCGCGGCGCTCCGGCGAGACCCACATCATGATAAAGAATCCGCCCTCCCTCCGTGCAGCCCGTGCAAACTTTAGAGACACATGCTCGCGGCGCTCCGGCGGGAGCCACACCTTTTGAGCAGGGGCCGCCCTCAATTCCGTGAAGCTCCCGCAGACTTCTAGGACGCACGTCCGCGGCGCTCCGGCGAGAGCCACACGTTTGTAAAGCACCGCCCTGCAGATGTGGTACTCCTGCACGCGTTCAGGACGAGCGGGCGCGGCGCCCCAGGCGAGAGCCGCACTCAGAACACTGCCCGCCCCCCAGCCGCGAAGCCCCGGCAGAGTTTAGAGGACGACCGTGCGCGCCGCGCCACGGCGAGAGTCGCGCGTTCTGCACGGGCGCCGCCCTCCGTGCAGGGGAAGCCCTCGCGCACTTCCTGCGGCGAGTGGGGCGCGGCGCGCAGGCGAGAGCCACCCTTCGGAACACTGCCCGCCCTCCCTCCGCGCTGCGTCGAGAGCCCCGTGCTCTGAGAGGGGCCCGGCCTCCCACCGCGGAGCTCCTGCGCAGACTTCTGCCGGGCCGAGCGCGCGCGGCGCTCGGGCGAGGGCCGCGCACGCACCGCAGGCGGCCCGCCCTGCACGCGGGAAGCTCTCTGGCGAGCGCTTCCAGCGAGTGCGCTCCTCCCCCTCCTCCTCCTCCTCCTCCTCCTCCTCCTCCTCCTCCTCCTCCTCCTCCTCCTCCTCCTCCCCCTCCTCCTCCCCCTCCTCCTCCTCCTCCTCCTCCTCCTCCTCATCCTCCTCCTCCTCCTCCCCTCCTCCTCCTCCTCCCCCTCCTCCCCCTCCTCCTCCTCCTCCGCAGCAGCAGCCCTCTGCAGGCTCCTGGGGCGAATGTGTGCGCGGCGCGGAGGCGAGAGCGGCCTGCCCTCCAGCCGTGAGGCCGCCTCGATTGGTCTCGCCCTCGGACCATATGCGGTGCGAGACGCGTCCGGCGCCCTTGGCATCGCTCGGACGTGTGCGTTTTTTTCTCGGCGAGGACCCTTTGAGGAACATCGGGGGAGAAAAAGATACGGATACGTGTTGTCCCCCTTCGTTTTCGGCCTTTCCTGGTCCTCCTGGGGAATCCTCGTTGTCACCGCTGGATTCGCCTCGAAATTCTGGTCAGAACGCACCCCAAGAGAGGTCCGGGGACAACACGTATCCGTATCTTTCCGCCCCCCAAGAACATCCTGGACCATCGAGCACAAAACAACACGCACGAAACCGAAACATGCACGGGAAATGGACGTCCGAGCGACGGCAAGCGCCGCGCCGGGGCCGCTCTGCCGACGCGTCCTCGGGGCGTGCCAGCACGTGCTCTCGGGGTGCGCTCTCGGGTTCTCGGGGCCGGACGGTTGGAGGAAGAGTGCGTGCAAGACTCATATCCGTATCCAGTGCCTCTTGGACTTTTTGGAAGCGGCGCCACAAGGCCGAGGCGCACTGGATATGGAAAAAAACGAGCCTCATAAAAATCGAGCCTCTAGGGGGCAAATTTATCCATATCCAGTGCGCCTCGGGTTTCTCCGGAAGGGAGCCCGAAACTCCATACTGCAGTTGATATAGGCAGAAGTATTGCCCGCAAAGAGGGGCAGGAAGGCCGTCACGTGTGCCACCTTTCGTCTTCACCGCTTGCCGGGATCTCACGGAGCGCACTTGGGCCGTCCCGAGGTTCTCCTGGGCTCCTGTGAGGCAGTCCTGGGGGTCCCTTGGGGCCGTCTCGGGGCCCTCTTAGGCCGTCTTGGGGCTCTCTTGGGGCGTCCTGGGGCTCTCTTGGGTTGGTTTGGGGCCTATTTGGCCGAATCTGACGTAAGTCGGACGAATAAAGAACGCGACAAACTTTCAACCCCAACAGGCAATTCATCCCGGCTTCTTCGGACCCTGTGGGGGGTTCTCTTCTGCCCCTGTTGGGCGCTACGGGAGGCAATTTGGGCCGTTTTGAGGCATATTTGGGCCACCTTTGGGGCACCTTCGGCCGTATACTGTAGGCGTTTTGGAGGCGTCCGTGGACCATCTTGGCGGCCTTGATTTTTCGCTTCGGTCATGTTGGAGGTTCGGGAGCGCAGGTCCATAGTTTCTTACAAGGGCCTGCTGCCACGGAGGCGCGGAACATGTTTTTGCGAGTGATCGTTGCCTCGAGATTTTCGCAAGGGGATGTGGCCTCGAGAGGGCAGGGGGATGCACGCAACTGAGCGTGGCGAGTGGGGGAGGGCCCATCGAAAACTACCGACGCCCTACCAGGCAGCCCAGCGAATTCTACCACACTGCATGCCTGGTGGCAGAGACGTGGTGCAAGCTGCCTATGCATGGCAAAGTCTGCGTGGTGCAATCTATGTGGTGCAAGCAGTGCAGTGCAATCTATCCTGTGCATCCGTTGGGCCACTGAGTGGAATATGTGTGGTGCACATGCTCGCAGGCGCCCACGGGCCGGAAACCTGGCAGCGTGCCGCGCACAGCGCGACCACGCCGCGATCTCGGGCGCCGGCCAGCCTAAACCCGGAAGCGCCGGCCAGCACTCGAGGCGGCCGCGACGCTCCCACGGGCGGGCAGAGCTCCAAAATCCAGAAATGCCGACCAACATGAAAACAATTGTTGCGTTCTTTGGCGATGACGGGCGTGACCGGGGAGGGGGGGGGGAGGGGGGGGGAACAGTAGCGCCACGATTCACGCTGGCGCCGCTTGGAAGTGCTACTGAGCTGCTGATTCCAAGACAGCGCTGGCGCGAATCGTGGCGTGTCCAGGGGGTGGGGGGATTCGGATGCAACTCCTGGGAGGTAAAATCCGTAAGGGCTTCGCCCCCTGCCGCCGGCCCCCTCTCTCGGAGAATGGGCCATGGAAGAGCTAAGTCATGAGGCCTTGGCGCTGTCGTGAAGCAGTATCGAAACTTCATGCGAAGCCGATTCGCAATCAGCAAAACCAACTGATCACAAGAGGGGTTACCACACCTGGCGATTGGTAAGACGTGTATGGTTTACGGGCTTGGTTACCACACCTTGCGATTAAAGGGCCGAGGGAGTTCTCGCAGTTTGGGTTACCACGCCTTGCGATGGATGTGCGTGAAGGGTGGCACCGAATTTCAGAAATGTGGCAAATCCCCTGTGTTTTTGGACCCTGACCCCGCGGATCTGCGTAAGGGGTGGCGCCGAATTTCAGAAATGTGGCAAATCCGTTTTTGGACCCTGACCCCGCGGATCTGCATGAGGGGTGGCACCGAATTTCAGAAATGTGGCAAATCCCCTGTGTTTTTGGACCCTGACCCCGCGGATCTGCGTGAGGGGTGGCACCGAATTTCAGAAATGTGGCAAATCCCCTGTGTTTTTGGACCCTGACCCCGCGGATCTGCGTGAGGGGTGGCACCGAATTTCAGAAATGTGGCAAATCCCCTGTGTTTTTGGACCCTGACCCCGCGGATCTGCGTGAGGGGTGGCACCGAATTTCAGAAATGTGGCAAATCCCCTGTGTTTTTGGACCCTGACCCCGCGGATCTGCGTGAGGGGTGGCACCGAATTTCAGAAATGTGGCAAATCCCCTGTGTTTTTGGACCCTGACCCCGCGGATCTGCGTGAGGGGTAGCACCGAATTTCAGAAATGTGGCAAATCCCTTGTGTTTTTGGACCCTGACCCCGCGGATCTGCGTGAAGGGTGGCACCGAATTTCAGAAATGTGGCAAATCCTCTGTGTTTTTGGACCCTGACCCCGCGGATCTGCGTGAGGGGTGGCACCGGATTTCAGAAATGTGGCAAATCCCTTGTGTTTTTGGACCCTGACCCCGCCGATCTGTGTGAGGGGTGTCGATTTCGAGCCCCCCCAGCAATTCAGACAACGCGCCCAGGGGGTGCTAAAATGCCGGTTTGGGCCTCCCCCCCCTCGCGCGGTCAATCAACTAGTTACAGTAACCAGCAATAAGCAGAACGGTAACACTGGAAACTAAAAGCTACAATTGGTACAGGAAACTGCGAATCCCGCGCCTACAGCCTGGTGGCCCCACAAGGGGGCCGGCGGATTCTGATTTTGCCCCGGTCCGAAGTCAGGCTTAATCTGGCATCGTCCCGCCTCATCTTGGTTCATCCTGCTTAATCCCGCTTAATCCCGCTTGATCCGAGGCCCACTCTGTCGTAACAGCCCCCCTATGGGGCCAGACCCTCCCTCATCTTTCCGACGAAGACATCCCAGCAGTTGCCTCCCAAGGGGGAGGGCGGGGGGCGTGGCCAGTCACGGGCGCCACCGCGAATGTAATGGGAGATGTGCTCATAGTTTTGCGTCGCACTTTCTCGTGCAAGGTCCGTTTGGCGAGCAGGCGGCAAGAGCGGGCATGATCGGAGGGCCGCGCGGTTTTCTGGGGTCGGCGCTGGACCTTCTGCTTCCGTCGCCGCGCGGAGCGCGCCAGAGGCCCTCGTGCCCCGGTTTCGCGCCGCCGAGAGGCGGCGCCAGCGACTACCCAAGAAAGCCGTGAAGGTTGCAGGCAAGACGCTGAAATGAGGACCACTTCGTGTTCGGGAGAGTCTCTGGCCGCTCCTCAGGTCCATGCCCTGGGACCTACTCGAAGTCAAGGCTTGCCGTTGCCAGAGGGAAACATCTTCGTTCCTTATGCAGCGCCCCTTCTGTCAGCACGATGACCGTACACATCACTTGGCTGGCCTCGGAGAACGCTGGGTGACCATGCGGCAGGATGTCCTTCTAGCGACCGTCCTATTGTGGAGGCTGCGCATCAGGAGCAACGATAGGGGGGGATAGGCATAAGCGGGGATGCATCGACCCCCAATCGCCCATTGATCGCCGATACGATAGGTGTCCGATAGCCCCGACCTCCCCAGGAACGTGCGGATTCACTACCGGAGGCCTATCGCCGATGTCTCGGCGATGCATCGCCGATTCCTGGTCGATTTCCCCCCCCCTTATCCCTATCCCCCCGATCGTTGCCCCGCAGCGCACGCCGCCCCCCCGCACGAGCGTCCAGCGCCTCCGGGCCCCCGGCATGTCCCCCACGCGCGAGCCCAGCCAGGCGCGCAGCTCCCAGCGGACTGCGTGTGCTTCCCAGGCCGGGGAGAACCCCCCTCGACGTGCCCCAGAGAGGCTCGCCGTGCCCCCTCGTGCCGTGTCCTGGCGCTCCTCGTGGCAGCCCCATAGGGCCCTCCGCTTCAGCCAGGCCTGCCCCCCTACAGGGGGATTTTCGATGAAAAGTTAAAAACACACCCAGAATAACCCAAAAATAATCCAAAAATAGTCTGGGGGGCTATTTTTCAAGTATGTTTAGCATTTGGGGGGCATTTTTGGGGTATTTTTATTTGTCGTCGAAAGTCCCCCTGTAGGGGGACACGCCCGACATAACCCTACGCCTGTGCCTCTGCCGCGGGGGGGCCCTCTGCAGGTCAACAACCAGGTCCGCGCCTCCACCACGCTGCACACCTCGGACGGGTGCGACCAGGCCGAGGTGCGGGCCGGCGAGGACATGACCGGCGGCTGGGCGCCAGGGTCGCCGAACGCCAGGGCCTCCAACTGCTACGTCCACGCCCCCGGCCAGTTCAACAACCAGGGCTGCTCGTGGGGAGAGTAATGGGTTGAAGCTCGCTGAGGGGCAGCGAACGAGATTTGTGTTTCTGGGGCGACGGGGGAGAGGGTAATCTTTTGTAGGGCAAGAGCAAGCATGAGCAGCCCAATCGTCGGCAAGAGTAAACTGGAAATCAGAGCTTCTCGCGAAGGGCGGCTGGAAGGATTGCTGTTGACCGATCAAGCGCGCCCGCCGAGCGTACGGGGATCTGGCCCTGGAAACAACGCTGCCCCCCAGCGACCTTCAAGAAATGGGAGTGATACGTAGCGCCCCGAAGCTGCGGGTAAGAGTGAGGGAGCAGCGGGGCCCTCGTCGGCAGTCTGCGAGGCTCCAGAGAGGTCCGCCGCAGGCGACGATTCGTTGGCACACTGCACAACGAGCCCGCCGCAGGCGCCGAATTTTCATCAAAGCAGTGTGGGCGGATCGCGGATGGGTCGCGGGTGGGTTGCGGTTGGGTCGCGGGCGGGTCCGCGGGTGAGGACGACGACAACAACAACAATAACGCAACAACAACAACGTCGCAGCAACGCAATAACAATCCACACCGCGGACCCCCATTTCAGCCACGCGCCAAGGGACAATAAGTGACTGTCGGGATCCCTCACTCTGGTATGCTATATAAATTCGTGTTGGCCAGCGTGGACCCTGACTTTAAACAGTGTGGTAGTAGCCATGTATGTATTGCAATGTTTGAAATCCACGTGGTGCACTCTTAATGTGCGCAGTTTATTGTGTGCACTATAGGTGTTGCGATCGTCCTGGGGCAGTATAGGTGGCGCGATACATCATGTGCAACCCACGTCGTGCAACTTATGTTCTGCAGTCGACATTTTGCAGCACATGGCGCCCAACACATGTTTTGCAATCTATTTGGTGCAGCATCACCAGTTACTATATCATGCACAATCCATGATGTGCAACATATGGTGTCCAATCTGCGTTGTGCAATCTACTTCGCGCGACGTATGGTGTGCAATCTGTGTGTTGTGCAGTCTACGCGGTGCAATCTATGTGAATCAATGAACGTTGACAAAGGTGGGGGTGTCAACTTCACCTTTTCGCAATCATCCCACCCACTCGCCCGCAATTTAGTTTGCAAAACCCATGCGGCCGCGATTGCGATGAGTGCTTGGTGTTGGCTGGTGTATCTCTGCGGCCGCGCCGGCCCGCGCACGCTCGCGCGCCCAGCGGCCAGCTAGTTGGCGTGACTGGCGCGGCCGCGGTGGTGTTGACTTCTGGGCATTTCCCAGCGGGCACTTCAATGCGAGTCTGTGAGTTGGGCGCGTGCGGCATCATAGCGATGTCGACAACGGTGGACACGCGGATGATAGTAACGATGGTGGCGACGATGATGACGATGGCGCCGGCAACGCCGATGACGGCGCCCACGCTGATCACGCCAATAATGGTGACGATGACGATGCTTTCGCGTCGGTGATGCAGGTTTTAGAGGGAGTTCGACATCCGGGGGAATGGCCCGCGTGGCATTTTTTCCCAACCCTCCTTGTGTTGGGCAGTCGTTTTTAATAGAGCACTGCGCGGTCCGGCCTCCCACCTCCTCCCTCCTGATCCCCTCTTCCCTTCGTGCTTCCCGCATTGCCTCTTGCTTTCCCTTGGCTGCGTTCTTGTTTGAATGGAGCACTGTGGTGTCCACCCCTCCTCCTACCCCCCCTCCTCCCGCCTCCCCCGTTCTCCCTCCTCTTCCTCTCGCCTCCCGCCTGGCTTCTGCCCCCTGCCTCGTGCCCGCAGTCTGCGAAGCTGTCGCCACTTTCGTGGGTTCGTCGGAGTGCCAGCGGGGTGACGTCATACGCGGATCACCACGAGACCTCGCCTCCCCGCGGTGGGCTGCGATCTGCAAAGTTGTCGCCATTTTCGTGGGCTTATGGGAGGCCCAGCGGAATGACGTCATACGCGGGTCACCTCGAGACCACGCCGTCATTTGGGGGTCCGCGATCTGCGAAACTGTCGCCACCTTCGTTGGCTTCTGGGAGGCCCGACGGAGGTGCGCCCTACGCGGGTCACCGCGAGACATCGCCGCCCCCTGGGGGGGCTGCGATATGCGAATGTGTTTCCACTTTCGTGGGTTTCTGGGAGGGCCAGCGGAGGTGCGTCCTATGCGGATCACCAGGAGACTGCGCCGTCCCCCCCGGTTGGCCAAAGTGTCGCCACATTCGCGGGCTTCAGGGGGGCTCAGCTGAGGTGCGTCCCGCGCCGATCCCCACGAGACCTCGCCGTCCCCTGGGGGGTTGCGATCTGCGGAGTTGTCGCCACTGTCGTGGGCTGATGGGAGGGCCAACGGAGTGACGTCATACTCGGATCACCACGAGACCTCGCCGCCCCTGGGGGGTTGCGATCTGCAAAGTTGACGCCATTTCCGTTGGTTTTGGGAGGGTCAGCGAAGTGACGTCATACGCAGATCACCACGAGAGTTCGCCCTCCCTGCTTGGCTGCGATCTGCGAAGTTGTCGCCTTTTTCGCTGGTTTCCGGGAGGGCCAGCGGAGTGACGTCATACGCGGATCACCACGAGAGTTCGCCGCTCTATGTGGGGCTGCGAGCTGCGAAATTGTCGCCAGTTTCGTGGGTTTCCAGGGGGGCCAGCGGAGGAACATCCCACCCGGATCACCACGACACCTCGCCGCTGTTTTGGGGGCTGCGATCTGCGAAACTGTCGCCACTGTTGTGAGCTTCTGGGGGGGCCAGCTGAGTGACGTCCCGCACGGATCACCACCAGACTTCGCCGCCTTCTGACGGGCTGTGATCTGCAAAATTCTACCAGTCTTCGCCGGCTCCTAGGAGGCCAAACGGGGGCACGTCCGTACGCAGATCACCACGGGACCTCGCCGTCCCCCGGGGGCTGCGGTCTGCGAATTTTTCGCCACGTTCGTGGGCGACGCGGATTATCACGGGACTCCGCCGTCCCTTGTGAGGCTGTGATCTGCGAAGTTGCCGCCACTTTCGTGGTCTATAAGGCTTCTGCGAGGCCCAGCTGAGGCACGTCCTACGCGGGTCATCACGAGACCACGCCGTCCTTTGGGGGGCCGCGATCGCCACCTTCGTTGGCTTCTGGGAGGCCCGGCGGAGGTGCGCCCTACGCGGGTTACCACGAGACATCGCCGCCCCCTGGGGGGCTGCGATATGTGAAGTTGTCGCCACTTTCGTTGGTTTTTGGGAGGGCCAGCGGAGGTGCGTCCTACGCGGATCACCAGGAGACTGCTCCGTCCCCTGGAGGGGGCTGCGGTTGGCCAAGCTGTCGCCACATTCGCGGGCTTCTGGGGGGCTCAGCTGAGGTGTGTCCCACGCGGATCACCACGAGACCTCGCCGTCCCCTCGGGGGCTGCAATCTGCGAAGTTGTCGCCACTTTCGTGGGCTCCTGGGAAGGGCAGCGGAGGGGCGTCATACTCGGATCACCACGAGACCTCGCCGTCCCCTGGGGGGCTGCGATCTGCGAAGTCGTCGCCACCTTCGTGGGCTTATGGGAGGGCCAACGCAGTGACGTCATACTCGGATCACCACGAGACCTCGGCGCCCCTTGGGGGGCTGCGATCTGCAAAGTTGTCGCCGCTTTCGTGGGTTTCTCGGAGGACCAGCAGAGTGACGTCATACGCGGATCACCACGAGACTTTGCCGTTCTTTTGGCGGGCTGTGATATGCGAAGTTGTCGCCTTATTCGCGTGCACTTGGAAGGCCCAGCGGAAGTGCGTCCTGCCTGGATTTCCGCGAGACCTCGCCGGCCCTTAGGGGGTGGGCTGCGATAGGCTTCTGGGGGGGCCAGCGGAGTTACGCGGCGCACTGGAGCGCCGTACAGCGAATGGCGCATGGCACTGTCCGCTGCCCATGCCGCATTCCTTCCTCAGCTGCATGTTGCTCGCAATGCGCGCGGGCACATACCACGTTGTGCGAAAGGGGCTGTACTGCCATAGCGCGCAGAGCGCTGTCCTGCAATGCGAATACAGCGCAAAGCGCTGCTACACCCACGAATTACGTCTCCAAGTGTCCCGCCCCCGCATGTTCCAACGCCCCCTCGCGATCGCTCTCCAGCCATCTGCGCGACTCTGAAGGGCGACGTCGCAAGCGTGAAACATCTGACTCTGGCCCGACGTTCTTTTGCGAAGCGTTCAAGTGCATTGCGGGCCATTCCAGGATTTCTTTTGAATCGAGCGATCCGAAGTATATTCGCCACATGCTTGAAAGGGTTAGGTACGTCCCCAAGTCATTGCACAGGGATCTAAAACTTACGGCACTCATGGGGATTCGCAAGAGCGAGCGCAGAGCTTTATCCTTGAAGCTTGATGGTGCGAACCCATGAATTTTTTAAACATCTCGGACCACTCGATGATGACGTCCTTGCGGGACCTTAGAATGTCAAGAGTCTTCGGCGCGCGCGACGTCGCGTTCGCGCGCGCGTCGCTTCGGAGCGCTCAAGTTTGAAATGGCTGCGGCACCTTAGGTTCTCGACAGATGTTGGCGCGCGCGCGCGACGGCGCGCGCCTGTTCGCCTCGCTCAATTTTCTGCACGGGCAACTTCTGGTGTTTGACAGACGCGTGCGCTCGCATGGTATTTGCAGCGCAGGATGGGGGGGGGTAGTGAGGGGCTGCGTCGGATGGTGCGATCTCAGGTTTCGATTGGCGCTGGCGCAGAAGCGCCGGGAGATTGCGGCGAAGCAAGGCGGACCGTCCAGTCCATCGGGCGCGGGTGATTGCGCGTGCGCGCTTGCGTGCGCGTGCGTGCGTGTGTGCGCGCTTGCGTGCGCGGGTGTGTGTGTGTGTGTGCGTGGGGTGGGGAGGGGGTCTGTTTCAAGATTAGGGGATCTACGCGGGGCGATGCATCCGCTGCTCGCGCAATCGCACCGCCCGCTCACCCTCGACTTGGTTTGATGCGGCCGCGATTGCGTTGGCTGCTCGGCGCAGGCTGGCGCGTCGCCGCGGCCGCGCTCGCGCGCGTGCTCTCGCGTGAAGCGGCCAGCTAGTTTGGCGCGGCCGACGC